TAAAGCTTGGCCAGCAGAGCAGAGAAATCTAATGCCTGTCAACAGTCTCTCCTCTGTCCTTTGGTCCTCAATTTATCACCAAGTGATACCTGCCTAGGGCAAGCTCAGGATGTTTGGGACAAGGCAAACTACTCAGGTAGAGAGATGAGGGCAGGGGCCTGGCTTTGAATCCCACTGGACCTTTTTTTTTCCTCTGGTATAGCAACTTGGAAGGGGAAAGTGAAACACTGCACAGAAAATTGTGGAATGTGCAGGATCAGAAGTTAAATGTTTTTCTTGTAGATGGCAAGATAATGTCCCAGGCCCCCTGCTTCAGCATGGGGTTGCAGATTCTGATCGCCTGAATATGTGTGTGTGTGTGTGTGTGCGCGCGCATGTGCGCATGTGTGCACGTGAATGCAGGTGAAGTCCTCAATGACTCACTATTCATTCCTGGAATAGAAGAGCTGGAAAGACTACATCCTCATTGGGGTTTCTGCTAAGGAAGAATCTTGTCTGATGTTCAAGTACAGGCATCTGGATCAATATTGACAACTGACCTGAGACTGGTAAGGTTTGGGAAGGATGGTAGAACTCTTGGTCAGAGAGTTAGTAGCACCACAATCAGGGCCAAATTAATAATTCTCCTGCCTTCCGGATTGAGGTTTCTTCTGATAATATGCTGTGTTTCTCCTCTTCCTCCTCCTTTTTTTTTCTTTCTCCTTCCTACTATTTGGAGACAATCATTGTGCTTAAAGCACTGGGGAGAAAATTATAAATTAGAAAAATCCCAGTGTTTTTTTTTTTTTTTYCTCCAGCATGTATGATCTACCCCAGAGTTCCTGAGCCTAAGCATGGTTAAACTTAGAGACCAAAGACTTATATTTGGCAAGGTGTATGCCAACCATGATGATGTTTAGTAAACCTATTCCCTACCTTGAAAATAAAAAGAAAATGCCTCTAAAATGCTCAATGTCCACTGGGTGTAACCACTGCCATGGCTGAGAACTTCTGAGCAGTGAGGTATAAAGCTAAGTTCACACCTGCAGTGGAGTTGGCAAGGATATCTCTGTGTCTTCTTGGGGTCTCTTTTATTTAGAGTTATGATCTTCCTAACTTCTTAAGCTTTGCCACATTATTGATATTTGTATGGTTTCTCCCCAGTATGAATTCTCTGGTGTTATTGTTTTATTAACAGCTTTGTCACCTTCTTTACGTTGCTATGGGTTTTCTCTAGTGTGAATTCTCTGGTGTTGATTAAGTCATGATTTTTGAGTCTGAATTCTGATCATGAAGTAACTATAACTATTATCATTTTTTTAATAAAAGCTTTTTAAATGTTGCAATTGTTCAGACTTATGCACAGCAAAAACCTGAGTCTGATGACCAAAAAACCTGAGTCTCTTTGTCTTTTTTTTTTTTTTTTTTTGTACTTGGGATCAAACAATAGTGCTCTCTACCACTGAGCCACATCCCCAAATCTTTTTATTTAGAGTTAAGATCTTCCTAAGTAGCTTAGATTCTTGTAAAATTGCTGAGGCTGGGTTTGAAACTGTGATCCTCCTTCCTCAGCCTCTCCTGCTGATTGGATGAAAAGTGTGTAGCACTGTGCCCAGATGAAGACTGAGTCTTCCAGAATCCTGAGAGAACCTGAAGTACTGCAGTGTCAGAGATTTCCTCATACATTATTGAGTGTTAAAAACATCATTCCCTGGAAAGAAGCACCTTGAGGAGCCAAGGATGGATTCTGGGAAAGATGTTAACTATCTGAGCTTTCACAATGTGGCTTGGGACAGACATTTTTCCTGGGTGACACACCTGTATCCCTGTAAGTGTTACTGGCAGGATGGACTCATCAGTCCAAATGCTTTTCATTGACACCATTTTTTAACAATTCTATTTTTTTTTCAAATGTAACACAATCATTGATTTAAAAAGTGTGCAGGGCTGTGGTTTTCTTTTAAGAGAAAAAAAAGGGCAACTATGTTTCATCAGGAACTGGCTCAGTGTTCTCAAAAACAGATGTCATATGCAAGCAGAGCAACACGTTGGTACAAAGGCACACAGTGCTACCCCTGGTCTGCTAGTAACTGCTATAGTATGGAAAAAGGTGGAAAAAGGTAGTATGCTTCTTTCTCATATGTGAAAACGCTCTGGAGGATCAGGGGCTCAAAGTCATGGATGGAGTCTCAGGGGTCTCAGGGTCATAGACAGGCCTCCTGCTGTCTATTCAGTGTGAGCATTCACACCCACTACATGTGTGAATTTAACCACAACATATTGTATTTTGCTATTCAAAATCTTTGTTTCTCAGCACCTGGTTTCAAACTTGGGAACTCTGCATTTGATGTAGAAAGCTAAGATGTATCATTTGAAAAGCTAGAATCTGATGCCTGAAGTGTGACAAAAATATCTTTTTAATGATTTTTATGCCCACAAAATCCTGAGTAAAATTTAACTAACCTCAGAGCAAAAGACATTGACATGCATGCTTGTCATCCAAGCAGCACAGGAGGCTGAGGCAGTAGAACCACAAGTTCAAACGAGCCTGAGTACTAAAAGTGAGGCCTTAATCAACTCAGTGAAATTGTGCCTATAAATAAATACAAACTAGGGCTGGGATGTGGCTTAGTGTTTGAGTGCTCATGAATTAAATCCTCATTATACCCCCAAAATAAAATAAATAAATAAGACATTGAAAAAGAAACATGCTGTCCATCTGAGGTTATGGGAAAAACATTGATGTGATCATAGACTTCAGGCATAAGATGGTTTTATTAAAGTGTCAGTTTGACACAAAAGAGGCCTTTAAGTACAGAGATAACTTTGGAAAAAAATATGATTTGTATTTAATCAATTCAAACAGAAACTGATGAAAGGACAAGTGAACCTGGAGAGGTCCACAGAAGGAAAGAGGGTCAAGAGTCCAACCATGCTTCCTGCCCACTTCCATGGGTTCCTGTGTAATAGCCAGTTGGGCAAGGGTTGAGGTTTCATGGAGTGAGCACTGCAGAGCTATCTCTGGACAATTGTAATTTTTCTTTCCAGTAAGAAGTTTCTGGTGACCAATGAGGTGTGATCTTACAACAAATGACTTTTACAGTCTATAGATTTGTGAGAATTGTCTCAAGTATGAATGATCTATTTCTTGTTAACAATTGAAGCACACTTAAAACTTTGCCACATTCATAACATTGACATGGCTCTTATCCAGTATGAATATTTGGTGAACAACAATACTTTTCCTAATAAAATAGCTTTGTCACATTCTTTGCATTTGTATGGTTTCTCCCCAGTATGAATTCTCTGGTGTTGAGAAATGTGTGATCTTTGATAAAGAGCTTTGCCATATTCTTTACAATAGTATGRCTTTTCCCCAGTATTAATTCTCTGGTGTCAAATAACGTATGATTTTTGGTAAAAACTTTGCAACATTCTTTTCATTTGCATGGATTTTCTCCTATATGAAGTCTCTGGTGTTGACTAAGGAGTGACTTTCATTGAGAAGCTTTGCAACATTATTGATATTGTATGGTGTCTCCCCAGTATGAATTCTCTGGTGTTGCATAAGGTATATTTTATTAAAAGCTTTGCCACATTCTTTACATTTGTATGGCTTTTTTCCAGTATGAATTTTCTGGTGTCCAGTAAGATGTGATTTTTGAATAAAAGCTTTGCCACATTCTTTACATTTGTATGGCTTTTCTCCAGTATGAACTCTCTGGTGTAGAGTAAGGCATAGTCTATAATTAAAAGCTTTGCCACATTGTGTACATTTTTATGGCTTTTCTCCAGGATGAATTCTCTGGTGCTGAGTAAGGCCTGATTTTAGATTAAAACCCTTGCCACATTCTCTACATTTGTATGGCTTTTCTCCAGTATGAATTCTCTGGTGTTGAGTAAGGTGTGATTTTCGATTAAAAGCCTTGCCACATTCTTTACATTCATATGGCATTTCTCCAGTGTGAAGTCTCTGGTGTTCAGTAAGTTGTGATTTTCGATTAAAAGCTTTGCCACATTCTGTACATTTGTATGGCTTTTCTCCAGTATGAATTCTCAGGTGTTGAGTAAGGCTTAGTCTATAATTAAAAGCTTTGCCACATTCTTTACATTTGTATGGCTTCTCTCCAGTATGAATTCTCTGGTGTTGAATAAGGTGTGATTTTTGATTAAAAGCCTTGCCACATTCTACACATTTGTATGGCATTTCTCCAGTATGGATTCTCTGGTGTTCACTAAGGTAATATTTTGAATTAAAAGCCTTGCCACATTCTTCACATTTGTATGGCTTTTCTCCAGTATGAAATCTCTGGTGTTGGGTAAGGCTTACTTTATAATTAAAAGCTTTGCCACATTCTTTACACTTGTATGGCTTTTCTCCTGTATGAATTCTCTGGTGCTGAGTAAGGCCTGATTTTAGATTAAAACCCTTGCCACATTCTCTACATTTGTATGGCTTTTCTCCAGTATGAATTTTCTGGTGTCGAGTAAGGTGTGTTTTTTGATTAAAAGCCTTGCCACATTCTTTACATTTGTATGGCATTTCTCCAGTATGGATTCTCTGGTGTTCACTAAGGTAATATTTTGAATTAAAAGCCTTGCCACATTCTTTACATTTGTATGGCTTTTCTCCAGTATGAATTCTCTGGTGTTGAGTAAGGTGTGATTTTCTATTAAAAGCCTTGCCACATTCTTTACATTCATATGGCATTTCTCCAGTGTGAAGTCTCTGATGTTCAGTAAGTTGTGGTTTTCGATTAAAAGCTTTGCCACATTCTGTACATTTGTATGGCTTTTCTCCAGTATGAATTCTCAGGTGTTGAGTAAGGCTCAGTCTATAATTAAAAGCTTTGCCACATTCTTTACATTTGTATGGCTTTTCTCCAGTATGAATTCTCTGGTGTTGAGTAAGGTGTGATATTCGATTAAAAGCTTTGCCACATTCTGTACATTTGTATGGCTTTTCTCCAGTATGAATTCTCTGGTGCTGAGTAAGGCAGGATTTTCCATTAAAAGCCTTGCCGCATTCTTTACATTTGTATGGCTTTTTTCCAGTATGAATTATCTGGTGTTGATTAAGGTATGATTTTCGATTAAAAGCTTTGCCACATTCTGTACATTTGTAGGGGTTCCCACCAAAATTAATTCTCTGGAGTTCAGGAATTCTTGTAGTTTTATTAAAAATGCTTTTACATACCTTATATCTATAATTTGTCTCTTGATTATGAAAGCTTGGATAAATAAATTTTGGGCTTGGATTAAAAACTTTTTCACTTTTATCATTGTAAAGCTCTTTTAACTGATCACATGGGTGTTTTCTAGGATTTAAAAAAGAGGGAAATTTTAATGACTTTCACAGAATTTACATTGTTTTACACCAAATCTAACATACTGCTGATTACTTTGTGTAGAGATTGTCTATAGGTCCTGAACAGAAATATTTGTGGATATTTACAAAATGGTGCATTTCAAATTATTCCACTTACTAACTGAAGAATGAAATTGACTACATAGAAAATTTTGTATCTTTTAGAGGAAGGGTATAATTACAAAATGCTGTACAAATATATTTAAAAGCACACATGAGTC